TATAGAGCCAAAGATGTTAGAATTGTGTCGATGTCCCAATATTTCTGGACCTGACTGTAGCTGATAAGCAGCATACTGAATTGCACCAAGAAACATACTGGTAGCCAGTGCAGCTCCTGCAGTATTGGTATTACATGAAAATATTAGACCTGGCCCATCAAACAGGCAGCTGTGTTCTGCACTAACTGAAGTTTGTCAGCTGTCTTCAGGTGTAGCAATGAAGCAAATTACAATAATCCAATCCAGAAATCACAGGGGCATGAGTGACAGTAGTCAGCACCTCCCATTCCAGGAAAGGCTGCAACTGGTGAAACTGGGCAACCATGGCTTCAACCTGCTGTTTTTGCAGGTGCCGTGAGCCCAGGAAGACCCTCTTTTAGGGTAGTGCTTGTCTTTTAGGGTAGTGCAACCCCATTAAAAGTAAAAAAATGAAACAATCTTGAAATTGATAGACATCTGAATTGACAAGCATGATGTTTTGCTAGAGTTGAGTCTAAGCCAGTTGCTCCTCATCAAGTCACTGAAAGCTTCCAGACACTGGGTTAGAGCATCTACAATATTCCACATTTGGGTTGGAGTAAAGATAATGCAACTGGTATCATCAGCACACTGATGGTACCCTCACCCAGCAGCTTCATGTAGATGTTAAAACAATATGAAGGGGAGGACCAAGCCCTGGGAAACCCATATTTGAGTCCCAGAGGCCTGTTTCTCCTGAACTAGCTGTTAGGAATCACCTACTAAGAAAGGAGCAGAACCCCATAAAACAGTATCCCCCATTTCTAATTTTTGCATGTAACCCAGAAAACCATGGTAAACTCAGAGCAAATATGATTTTGTCCACAAATTGTCCAGCTAAGCCATCACAGCAGCCACTTGGTAGTTTTCAGGCCCATACTTCTCTTAAGTAGTCCTCAGTTTAAGAACAAGTTCCATTCTCAAGGTCTGTCCTTAAGTCGAACTTATATGTAGGCTGGAACAGTATTATTGTATAATACTGTATAAGTAGTATTGTGTGATTAACTTGAACCATTGTGTAGTTAACTCAAATCATTGTGTAATTTAACTTGAATTTTGCTACAATAGGCTCCATTCTTAACTATGGGTCATCAATAAACTGGGCGTTTTTAACTCGGAGACTACCTATACCTTTTTGTACATTTGTCAATCCATTTGATGGATGAGACTGGTAGTTTTCTCAAATAGTCTGAATACATATTAGAAGATAAGGCTCCATTCTTAACTATGGGTCATCTGTAAACAGGGCATTCTTAACCCGGGGACTACCTGTACCTTGTTGTACATTTGTCAATCTATTTGATGGATGAGCTGGTAGTTTTCTTAAAATCTGAATACATATGACAAGTTAATTGTATGGTGGAAGATCACAGCAAAGGTCTGACTGTTCCAACATGTAGTGTTCAGTTGAGGTCAGATTCCTCTACAAGTAGCAAAGAATGGAACAATTGTATATAGTCTTTTAGAATTAGTAAGAAAGTATAAATAGTACTGCAGTAAGTTTTAAAGCAATATATAATTGCTTTAAAATGTCTCTCTATATAAGTGGCTGTTGCAGCACTTAATGACAATTATTTCTTTTTGAGACAATGCAAAATGAATAATTTCCTTTGATACTGGTATTTGAATTCTGTTTTGTTCGTGATCTACTTATTTCTGTACCCCACTTTTTAATTTGTTACTTAGGTTAGAAGCTTCATTGGGAAAACACTCCAATATATCTTTTATTTTTTAGTTTTTTTGAATGAATGAATTGTATTTAATTGCTATTTCTTTATTTTTCCACCTGTATTTTATTCAAGTGTAAGAACACATTCTGTGTTTATTGCAGGCACATATAACTACCTTTATATAAATGAATAGGAACATTTTAATTAAAGGAATAAGTGTTCACTATTGCAGAAAGCATTATCATGATCACAGTCTTTTTGAGTTTCCCACTCATTAATTGCAACCACTTTAGTACAGCCCATGAGGAATCCCCACTGAAATGAATGAAAACTGCAGGGAAACTTGTGCAGGAACCCAGTCATTGCAAAGAGGCCCTTTTGTGAAGCATCCTAGTAAATTATGTCCCTTAATTCATCAATGCATAAATGAAGATCAGCCAGCTTGGAACTTTTATTACACTATTCTGAAAGGACTTCTTAGAATACCACTGGAAGTACAGGCAGTCCCCAGGTTAAGAATGTCCAAGTTACAGACAACTCATACTTACGAATGGGATGCCTGTCACTAAAAATGGCAGACGGCATTCTCCTTTCTCAAGCCGATGAACTGCTGAAACCACGTTTTTAATATACAGCCCATTTTCAGCAGTTCATGAAAACATTGCTCTGCTTCAGTGGTTCGTCAGCTCCAGGAAGAACGCTGTCCACCATTTTTAGTAACAGGCAGCCCATTTGTAAGTACAGGTTCCAACCTACATGCAAATTCGAGTTAAAGACAGACTTAGGAATGGAACTCATTCTTAGCCCGGGGACTGTCTTGTACTAAAGAACTTTAAATATCATCTAATTAATTATTATAACTTTATTATAATTATTACTTCTATTTATTGTAATAATTACAGGAGTGGTCTTTTCACTGGCTGACATATATTTTCTCTCCCTCCCCCCTTATTATTATTCACAGGTTGAAAAGAATGGTTCCACTATATTATCAAGAACATATACACATCAAAATACTGAATTAACTCTGTTTCATAGATGACTGCTGTGTGCTAATTTAATAACTAGGTTATTTGTGTAGTCTTGTATATTTGTTTGTATATATAATTAACCTTGATTTCAGGAAAAAAAAACTTTTACTCAAGAAAGATTGATTAAAGCCTATTGTTGATTGAATCTCAGGAAAATCCCATTATTTGTTCTTCTGAATAATTTTCACTGAGAAAAAAAATACAGAACACAACTTGGAAAGATAATGACTTTTGCCATTAACTGCAGATCATGTACAGAACCAAAAATGAAAGAATGCTCTCTTTTTTATTAAACAGATTTTACAGAAATTGTTGCATAACACCATTTACTCTCACCAGACACTTTTCATGAGTAACTTCATTGGTACCGTCCAACCATGCTTTGTGCTTGCTGTTATTCAGATGCAAATACAACCCTGGATTTATATTTCTGCCATTTGTGTTGTCCCCCAGATGATAATCAATTACCTTTTTAGATCACTTAAATTACTTTTAGCAATCAAAGATGTTAAATATATACACATTATATACATAAATCATAAACATATTGTATGTAGTAATTTTTAATTCAAAGGATTTCAGCCACTTCAAGAGTTTACATGCTGGCTTCTGAGATTCTGCATCAACTAAGTGTTGACTAGCAGAAGTCCAATGAGTCTGGAATAAGGTTGAAATTAAAGAATGAAATATAAAAGTGAAATATACAATCCCCAGAGCAAAAAAAGTTGTCCTTGAAATAAAGTTCCAGCAGAAAACGTCACACGACCTTCAACCGCTGGAAAAACTTTTCCCATTCTTGTGATGTAGCTGGAAACAGTGGAAATATCAAGATCACCTGTTTAAAATAAAGTGCACAAATTATTTAAATATCCTAATTATCCCATGTTAGCCAATTATGAATTGCCTATACTGATCTGTGTTAAATAGATTTAAAACAATAATGAAATGTTCTGGACACAGCCACTGTTAAATTCCATGAATTAGTACAATATAAGAACCTCACATCTCCTTGCTTTCTACTATGACAGAATACTCCTAGAAGAGTCTTCAAAGTCTATAATCCTTATTACATTATTCTTGTAACAAGTAGATGTTATTCTGTGTAAGCAGTTAAAGGGAGTAATGACATTTTTTAATAAGTAATCACATTTGTATCTTGCCCGGGGAATCTGAAGCAAAGTCTATAGTTCTCTTCCTATGCAACCTCCATCTTGTATCACCCAAGAGCCCAGCTCAACAGATTAGATTGAGAATAGTGACTCACTCAGAGTCAGTCAGTGCTCTGCTGTGAAATTAATAGCTGAGTAAGCATTTGAATCTGGGTCTTCCCAGTGTCAGTCAAATACTTTAGTCACTGTAAAACACTGGTTGCTAACTTTAATACTCTTTAAAAAAAAACACCTGCTGCACATTTACTGCTATTTTAAATGGAAAACTCTCAAACTTGGTGTTGTGTTTTTGTGATTCAGCAGAATGGCCATTTGAATGCTAATGTGCATTTTCTTGAATGGCTTCCACTGTCCTTGCTGTTGCTCTGATGCATGTAAGATTTCTCTTTCTATTCCTAGACTTCATAAACTGCACACACAGCCTCAGAAGCCTTGAGAAGTTTCTTGCTGCTGTTGCACAACAAGGAGGCAGCAGCAACCATGCTGTCAATTATAAAACAGTGAAAATCTTTCTATAGGGAAAGAACTTTGTGCTACTTAAGACCTACTAGGCTCCAACTCCATTTGTGATACATAAAGCAAGTAGATTTTCCTGGCTAGTTTATAAATAAACCTGTGTTAATGCCTTTAACAAAAATGTTGCTTAACTAGTATATTTGGAAGTATAAGAGATGATGACGATTACACTTTGATAAAGTTTTCTATTTTCATTTCAAATCTCGCTTTACAGGAAAACATTGAAGTCACTTGTGCTTCTGCTTTCCCTCTTTTGTATAATGGCCCAAATCCAACGGAATTAAATATTTTCTGTTGCAGTTTGAAAAAAAGGACATGGAAATTGTAGTATGTTAGCAATATGAATGCCAGTACTTATTCAAATTATAAGCCATCTACTAATCACCAGAAAGGCTAATACTTACCACTACTGTGGTTACTTGGGCCTCCCTTTAGCATGTGATATCCGTCACCACCAGCAGCAAGGAAAGAAGGTAAAAGCACTTTGTAGGTTTTTTCCATCTCAAGCGGTACATAAACTGGTACCCTACAATCTGTGCAAAGAACCTTTAAGCTGACCACCCTGCTTCCTGGCCTTTGGGAGAGATCATACACCACTTTTACACCTGTTAGGAAACATAAGTCACAAGTGTTTTAGGTACCATTGCATTGCATAGGTGTTGCATTGTTTGTATCTCTAAAAACACTGGTAAGTGATTGTGCTATTCATGATCTTGGGGTTAGACAAATGGTAAAACCAGATACCCAGTACCATGGATGCAGTCTGCTTATAAAACACTTCTGCTAGCAGAAGGAGAGAAGTGATTTCCAATTAATTCTAAGGTTGCCCTTTGAATCCCCTCTGCACTGGTATAGAAGATGGCAATGGGGTTGGTTACAGGAGATTCTCCTCTGAAATTTCTATAGGACTACAACATGGAAAAGTGCTACACAAAAATAGGAAAACAATAACAATTTTTCTTTTTGAAAAAGTTTTTAAACTTGGGGTGACTAATTCCTCTATTTAAGAATTTACTGCAGACAAATGCATATTTCCAATTGCTATGCCATGGATCAGTGCTGAAACTGCTATTATCTGTTTTTTAAATTTTGGACCTGTATGCATTGTTTTCTGACTCCTTGCTACTTGCCAGAAAGTAGAAAGATCAATTTCTCAGGGTGGTTGTTGGGAAAATAAAAGGAGTATTATGCATGCCACCTTGACTTACAGTATGTAACTACAGGTGGGATATGAATCAAATACATGTTTTCAGACCTAACACAAACTTGAATAAAAATGCTGCTGCTTTAAGGCTCACATAATGAGTCAACCTATTAAAGCATCAGCACTTTTTTTTCCAGACTCTCACAGAAGCTTATAATAAGTTGGCTGCTTTAATGATTGGCAGAGGATTGCTCTGCTTGCGCAAGGTCTGAAGCATTTCTCCAAATCATTTTCAAATCAATCATGGCTTTATTGCCCGCTGTATTTTATCATATTGTATTTTAGCAGGTAAGGTGAAGATGGGTTTATTCAAGGGGAAAGGGTGGTCACAAGGAAAATCGATGCCCCTACCTGAATATGGAAGGAGCTGATTGTTGTGGGAGATTTGGCCAGACCAACTAATGAAAACAGAAGTCATGCAGATATTTAGGATAAAAGAGTGGGCCTTGGTTAAGTAAAGTAGAGAATGAATGGATATTTCTCAGCTGCCCACCCCCACTCTGAAAGATACTGCAATTCAAAAGTGGTCTAATGCTGAGAGCTGACCTGCCATTCACAATCATCTTTCTCTTCATCACAGCATGTAAACCCTGAAACATTTCATTTGTTTTTGACGTGGCTGCAGCAACACCATTCTTTATAGCACACTGCTGCTCCAGAGAAAGGAATTAGAGGACAGGAATTTTACAGAGGGCCAGAACTGTATGGATTGGATTGACTCCCATCTCTACTACTGAGGCTAAATAAACGTCTATTCTGAATTATACCTAGCCTGCCCTGGGATCTGGGCCTCAGATTATCCTGATGCATACCCCTATAAACATCCCAAACAAAGACTCAGATGTCTGGCATAATTTATTTGAAGTTTTTGTGCCTTTTTTCCCCCTCTCTGTAAGAGTTCTGCAGTAGCATAGGGAAAGATGAGCAATGGGGCCTCCAGTATTTTGTGCCTACATTCCAAAGCTATTCATGCCGAAAGCCTAGATTTGCATAATGCTTCCACCAGGAGGAGTTGTCTAAGGCAGATTCTCATTTCCTCTTACCTGGTTCCTTAATGACAGACATATACACCCTCTGGAATGATGCCACGCTGAAGATAAATCACTGTCCCCCAGGGGTTTTCCAACAATAAGCTGCTCAGTGCTTGACGAGAGAGATTTCAGCACTTTGTACTGGCAAAGCATGAAGATAACTAACCTGAGACCTGCAGCATTTCACCTGTTCCTTGCCCATGTCGGTGAACACTATGCTCAAATGCTTCTCTTAGAGCAGAACCTTTGATCTGTAGCAAGTCGAAAGTTCCTCCAAAAGGCAATACAGCTATCAGTTCCTCCACGGTAATGCTGCCTGATTAGAACATAACACTGTTATAGAATGATCAGTTGTGTTATACATCATAATTCCATTCATTTTTAAGGCATTGTGGTGTAGTGGAAAACATACTGATTAAACAGAAGAGAGATGAGTTCAAATCTTATTCGACAATAGGATTGACTGCCAGACCTTAGACTAGTCCCCATCTGTAATGGTATGTGGGAATGACCTTGGGAGACAGGAGGAAGAGCCACAGACTAGACAACTATCATGCAAAAATTATCTCAGCCTTCAGAAGGAAAAGGGGCATGGGAAGCATCTCAGAAGGGACCCCCCCCCCCGAGTTTTCTGGAAAATAAAAGTAAAGGAGGGAAGAAGTGCTTTCCGACTTGCAAGATTCTGTTAATGCAACCTTACAATAAAGATAGTATTCATAGTGGTGCCTCTTGTTGACACTACCTCGAAGGGCTAACACTGTCATGGGGGGCTTGGAGTCAGAAGATGAAGAAGGGCAGCCAGCTCCTGAAGTGGCCTTGGAGGACGAGCAGTCAGCTCTGAGGTCACTGGACAAGCAGCCCCCTGAGCAAGTACAGGAGGCAGGGCTGGCCAGCAATCGGGGACAGCTGCCGCTGCTCATGGAAAATGAGGACTCGGAATTGCCACCCCCTCCCAATGCAAGAGCACGGAGAGCAGAAAGAAGAGCAGAACAGAGGAAGTCAGCGAGGTTACTCGCAAGGAAGCAGCCTTGCCCTCCTAAATAAGCCCCATCGGGGTTGCTCTTATTTAAGAAGAGCTATGAGCTCGAGACTGGCGTTGGAAATAACTGTTGGCTAACTCAGACTCTCTGTGCCTTGCCTTTTGACTCTGAACCCAGACTGGTTGATGGCCTTGCTAATGCTTTGGACCCCTGGCTTTGCCTGAGCATTCTTGCACCTGCTCCTTGGACTATGAACTCTTTATTTAGGCAAGTTTGCTGGACTTGTGAGAACTTGGTTGCTTTTGCGTGCGTAAGTTTGCACATAACTTTTTGTTGCTGCTTGCTATAAGTAAAAGTTTGCAACTACCTCTTGTGTATTTGTGTGTGCCTGGCCTGAGACAGGACAAACACTATCTTCCAATCTAGTTTGCATCTTAGACTTGCTTCAAGGGCCTACATACATTTGAATGAAGGATAGGAATGTTAATTTTATTTCTATGGTTTCTACCCACGCCATCAAATGGTCTCCAATACATTACAGTATAAAATTTAAATTAAATTTAAAGAATAAATTAAAGTAAAAAGATAGTAACATCTAGCACCTGTACAATTTAAAGTATCAGAAAATCTGTAAGCATTTTTTTTTTTAAAGCACATAAAAATGATTAGCTTCCAAGAGAAAAACTAGTAGCACCACAGAGGTTTCGGATGAGATATTTACAGCAAAATAATAGAAACGTATAAATAAGTTATTCTCTAAAGGTCAGTTTGGTAGTGTTTAAACATTCATGGAAGGAGGGGCTTTTCTCTCCATAAAGGAAGTTGCAGAAGAGGGAGTTTTGCTAATTTTCATAAGCAGGCAGTAATTGTGGTAGCTTGGGGCAGCAGCCTCCCCAGTCTGGATTTCCCCCACTCTCACTGACTTCATTGGGAGAGACCCCTTGGGTGTATACTCAAACAGGATGTGAGCAAGAGCTAAACCTTCAATCTGGCAAATTTAAAATAAGCATGACAGCGTCAAATACAGTGGATACACTTGGCAGCCCAAACTTAAATACTGAGATAAATGTGAAAAACAGAGAGTAGGTTGAAGCAGCGTTGTCTAAAGGCTCTTGAAATTACACATACCATTATTGGCTTGTTCATCAATGGGTGACCGTATTCCACCACCATTTAGGATGCACATGGAAACATGATTCCACTGATCATCATCTGGATATCTCAGGTTATTGTAAACCTTAAAAACATTCACAAAGAAAAAATGTTAAACCTCCACACTATCCTTTTCACTTAGCTGTAAGGACACCAGTATGTCACTCTTGCAAAACTATTTAAAGAATAGCTAGCAATATAGCTATTTTCTACTAAAAATGCACAAGCCTATCGTAAAGAGGTTTAACATAAATTCTCAAATGTACTGTATACTCAAGTCCTACACCATAGGATTATTACTGCATAGTGGAAGCTAACATCAGACCTGTATGTAACAAGACTATGTGAAGAAATTCTAGAAGACAGTGCCACTGAAGTGCATTGGGGGGAAATTGAAGACACCCATAGTCACATCAGCATTTGGCCATGAAGCCACATCTTTGTGAAAAAAAGTGGTATGCACAATCGGTTGCAGCTTCCTTAAAAGTTCAACAGAACGTTTGCAAGATCACAACCAGCTTCATTAAATCATTAAGAAAGAGATTGGAAATTAAACTGTAAATGTTATAAGGCCTTCAAATGATGTTGATTGAATGTACTCAGAACATTGCAACTCAAAACAAAAAGGCATTGCAAGGTTGAAAAAGGTCCCAATCAGGGAAGGAAATGTACTTTGTTACTGCATGGAGATGAGGAAAGTGAGACCTCTTTTCAATTTACATCACGGGTAAGGTAGTAGGTCTCTGATTTGCAACTACTGAAGAAACCCCCAGAAAACATCTCTGTTGCTGGTTTGCAGACCTCCTCTTAGGTGTGCATTTGGCCGCAACAGGAAACAAACTGCCAAACAAGAAATCTTAGTCTCATTAGGTTTTTTCTGAGCTGAACTTAGTCTGTGATCTGGCTTCTGAACTACAGGTTTTGCAAAAAAGACTGGTAAATAATCAACTCCAACAGAAATTCCTCTCTACATACTTTAATGGCTAAAACAATGGCTCAAAATATGAGATTCCAATTGTGAGGATTATTTTAAAGAAATCTTGTTTTTTTAACTATCCAAAAATGTAGCATCTATGATACAAAGATTACATGTTATGGAAAATATAAAGCATTGAAACATGCTCTTCCACATTAAAAATGTGCTTTTTGTGCAACACCATAATGCCATAGTACAGCAACTCTCTTACAAGCAGAAAAGCAAAATAATTAAATAAAATCTTAGGATATTCTGCTTTTGCAATCCAGTTTGAATGGGTGGATAATCTATTCCAACCTACTGGGTAAATTCAGGCAAGAACTGAGGGTGCCTCATGCAGGTATGCAACCCCTCCCTGACATATTTGCCCAGAACAGTGGACACCTTCCAAGAAACAGTGGACACCATTTAAAAGCCTATCTTTTGTGCAGATATAGCAGTGTTTTAAAAGATTTGCAGCACAGAAAAGTTGTAATTCTTCCCTCCTCGCAACATCCCTCCTCAAAAAAAGCCCCATCTGTCTGGCAATCTGGCTTTAAAAGAGCCTCCACTGATGTCAATAGGAGCTATTTTGCTATCTGCATGGGAATACTTTTTTTTTTTTTTTTTTGAGAAAAAGCATAAAATTGAATCGGGATGGCTTAGCTCGTCCTTCTCCAGGAGCAACCTCCTTTTAGAATGCCCTTAACGACAGCTCTGTTTGGAAAAAACAGGCTTTACTGAAGTCTTTCTGGAGGAAAAAAATCCTCTTTATTCTGATCCTCATCAGAAATAAAGAATGTTTCACTTTCCCATTCTAAGGAAAGGTGGTCACATCTGTGGAGAAGCCACAGGGTGGCTGCAGAGAAATTCTGGGCTCTGGGGAAAAAGCTTGGTGGGTTATATTTGGCCTCCCAGATGACTGCATTTTGTCATCTTGGGAGGCCTCAAAACAGAGGGTTCTCCTTTTAGGCACATTATTATTTCTAGGGTGCCTAAATTCAGCAGCAGCCTCCTTTTTTTCTGATTTGGATCTAATTCTTACTAAGGTATTTGAACACTTTCCAGCCTTAGCTGTGGATAAATAAAACTTCAGGATTAATTTTAATAATTAATCTAATAATCTTTCTAAGATGGACTTCTATGTCAAGGGTGTATACCTCCAATAGCAAGCAATGCAGCATTTAAATATATTTCAAAGGTCATTGATTACAGAACCAGTTATTTGTAATCTGATTTGTTACTTCCTTACCACAGCATCACAAATTAAATTTCCCATATTGCACTCTTGAAAGCGGCAGGCATGAGTTGTTCCATTTAGGTAAACAATGGTCTTCCCTATTTCTTGGGAAGAGAAATTCTGTAGCTGAATCTTCAACCTGTCAATTTCTGCTTTTACAGCTGGATCTAAAACAAAAGTCATGATTATAAATATTACTGAGTAGAGACCAAGGTTCTGCAGTGCTTCACTCTCAGCCTTACCAGGTAGACCAGACAGGAAACACAGCCAGATAAAACTAATTCTACTTTATTGTAATGCTACACTAACAGAATCTTACAAGTCTGAAAGTACAGTTCTCCCCCCTTCACCTTTACAGCCTGAGAACTTAGGGAGGGTCCCTTTTGAGTCTCTTGCTCCACCCACTATGCAGCTGTGGGCTATGCTGTCTCTTATCTGACCATTCCCTAGGCAGCATCTCTTCCCCCCATCTCCCAGGGTCTTTCCCACATACTATTACATTCACATTCAAAAGCAAAAAGATGCTTTGGGACAGGTGGGGGGGGGATTCATATAGCACCTATAAATTCTTAAAGCACCTGTGACTTTTCCTGAGACTGTGTGACTGGCATCTGCAACTGCGATGTGATTCCCAGGAAGATGCATCTGGATTAAAGAGTTGCAGACAGGTGCTATTTGAGAATCTCCCCCATTTTGCAAAGTACCTTCTTTCTTTCTAAACTGAAGTACTACACATACACATGGGAATAACACATTTATTTTTTCACTGCACAGCATTACAACAGGATCAATTTATGTTGCCTCAAAGAGAATGCAGCAGAAATTAAAACTCAGAATTAATCTCAAATTGAGCTTTAAAAGGATTTCACAATTAGACCCCAAGGCTGTTGGCAACTTGGATTTAGGTATCTTCAAAAGCAATGTCCCTTCTCTTCATATCATATAGTAGATCATTTTTAAGACAAAGAGTACTTTCAAAGCAGTTATGATAGAGAAAATTCAAAGAAGAGGAAAAACTTTGCAGTTTCAGGTTCAAAGAAAAAGATGCTTTGGAGTGCACATGAGTGCACACATAGCACTTGTCAGCACTGAATCCAAATGTAAATTTTCCCAAGATTGCACAATAAACAGCACAATCCTGGAAAAAGAGATAAGTGGATGTGACCAAGCCTGTGGGTGCATCTACAGTAGTGCTTTGAAACTGATCCATATGTGAAAAATGCCTACTTCTATGAAAGGAGGTAATAATAACATCCAGATAACTATTTTTATATTTATAGATGTTAATGAAAGTAGGTTGGTAGCCATATCACATAATTTACTTGCTAAGCAATAGAGTAATGGAGGAAGACCAATAACTATAGTTATATCAAAAATGGTAGATTTCAAAAGCTTGGATATAGTATTGAAGAATTCTGAACCCCCAAATTTTTCAGCACCAGAAAAGAATGGAAGTTTCAGTCTTTCCATATAAAAATTCAAGTTATCTCCCTATTTTCTTCAGTCTAGCAATAAGTATTTTTAGTGAAGGTGAGAATGAGTAATCCGTTTGTTGCTGTCATGGTTCAACAAAATGGAAGATTTGTTGATCTTCCACAAATCCCTCCAAAATATGTCAAATATATGCTGCCTTGCACTATATTTCATGTTTTTAAAAAGACTCATAACTATTTTGCTTATATTATACATTTTCTATGCATATGGTTTTAGAAACATCCTTCGGGAGAAAATCTATCTATGTGGCTAACAGCACATAATCATCTATATGTAATATAATAGTATTATATTTTGAAAGACCAGCAAGAGTTAATGTTTACTCAGGTGATACTTAAACAAGATATTTCATGTTCCCTTCCCAATTCCATACCTTCAGGAATATCCTTATTTAATAAGATGGGGTTTCCAGATGCTTTAATTACATTTCCTTGATCATCAAATATGATATTCAAATTGCCAAGATATTTTCCAAAGGCATATGCTTGAACAACAGGGACCTGACGTCCATCATCAGATCTCACCATAAATGGGTATTCACCTGCTGGCACTTCATTTGAAGGTGGACTGCCTAAAAAAGGAATTAGGACATGAATGGCCTTCAGAACTCTGAACACAGAACACACAAATTGACAGAGATTTCATATGAATAAAATGGTAACATATTTACTTATTTTATGGACTTGTTTTTCTATTATTAAAATCAATCCCAAAGAGAGTTTGGCAGTTGCTGTGATCAAGGTCCTTGCACCCAGCATCAGGGGAAGCAGCTGCTATATCAGCAGTTGATTAGTGCTGTAAGTTTCCATAACTGTCCCCAGGTTGAAAGGGCAAAATGTTTGTTCATGCTGAATCTCTAGTCAAGGCCCTTTCCTCAGCTGTCTCCCCAATGCATTACTGATCAGAGCAACAAGGACTTTATGCTCTGCTCTCTGGACTTAGATGCAACTGGAGTTTAAAGCAGAGCAAAGCACGGATCATTTCTCTCTCAAGTGACTTTTCTCCATGTCTCTGAACCACTTCAGTTTTAATGATTCAGCCATCCACTTTACATGTCATGTGCAGAGACATTCTCAGCTAAAAGTGTATCCCTGGAGTTTTGAGCTAATTTTTTTCTGTGCAAGGAGTGCCTCTTCACTTTGGAGAGTCACACTGTAGGAGTGCTTGCTTGCTTGCTTATTTATTTATAATATCTGTAGCCCATCCTAATCGGGAAGGATGCTGGGTGGGGCACACACATACACGCAAAACCCCTCTACTATTAAAAACCCCAATAAACAGTCAAAAGCCTCACAGGCACCTAATAGCCTACACAACCCTAAGGGTCAAATGCCTGCTGAAACAGCACTGCTTTGGCTATTTATGAAATGCCAGGAGGGTAGGGTCCATCCGTACCTCTGGAGGGAGATTGTTCCTAGAATGGGGGCCACCACCGGGAAGGCCTGTCACCTGG